AGACCTATACAATTTTTTTTCCTTTTTTTAGTGTAGTTTGCTTTAATTTAGTTCAGTTTAATTTATTTTAGAGATTTTAGAATCCTCTTTTTGCCGGCACTGTCCACTCTTATTTAAAACGCTAGTCAGCCTAACAGGCATTTTATGTTGTGGTTTTTGTTTATTATTTTTTTGGTCTGTAGGAGGAAACCGGAGTGCCCGGAGAAAACCCACTCTATCACCACGTGCATATAATAATAGTAATAATAATAATAATAATAGTAGTAACTAGACCAGAATGTTTAAAGAGAAGAGTCTTAATCTGTAATTTAAAAATGGAGACAGTAGGGAGTTTTTGATAAATCTTCACATAGAAAGAAAGGTTCAAACTTTTTTTTTGTCTGTGGGAGGAAACCGGAGTGCCCGGGGAAAACCCACTCTCTCACCACGTGAATATGTAATCTTCACACAGAGAGAGAGGTCTGAACCAGGGATCAAATCAGAACATTCAGTAACCACTGACCATCATGTTACCAAATGTTTTTTTAAGACATCACCCATTTGTTTTCTTAGTGCTGTGCAAAGATTTAAAACATGATGCTTACAGATAAAATAGTTGTTGGTGTGAAGCATTGGCCACAGTAATGAATATTTAAATATTAAATATTGGTAAAAAACAAACAAAATAATTTCAAAGTTACGAGGACGGAGGAAGCGAGGCGTCAGGCACAGCAGGTTTCTGTCTTTTAAACCACTTGAAGAAAGTGTGTTTTTTGGGTTTTGTATTCTCGATCTGTTGTGTTAGAGAAGATACTCTCTCCAACATGTGATCTGCAAACTCTTGATGTTGCTTATCTTTCGTTTCTAATTCATCCCTCAGGTTAGCTATAGTTTCTGACAGCTTAGATGTTTCTTTCTCTGCTTTCTCCCTCAGGTTAGCTATAGTTTTTGACAGCTTAAATCTTTCCTCCTTTGCTTTCTCCCTCTCAGAGTTTAATTTTTCTTTCTGTTCGCCTATGATTTTCTGTAAATGTTCCAAAGATGCCCTGGTAGTTTGTGTTTCCTCCTGTTTTTCGGTTAAAGAAATCTCGAGCTGTTTGGTACGAACTTTTTCAGTTTTCACAGACTCTTCTAAGTGTGTTATGGCTGAGGATTTTTCGTCTATCACTTGCTGAAAATCAGCGTGTTTTGCTTTGAGTGAAGTTGTTAGAAATCTCACCTGGTATTGCGATTGTTCTAAATCTCGCCTCTCAGACGCAAGAGCCCATGTAGCTTCGATGGCGTTTCGTTCATAACGTGCACACAGAAGAAGGAGTCCTTTTCTAACTGTATCCCATTCCTTCTCTCGTTCTTCAGTGTATTTACGTAAACGCTCCAGAGATTGCTCGGCATCTTGAGTTTTGAGTTTTTCAGCCATCAGAGCTGTTCCCAAATGTCTAAAATCATCGGCCATCTTCTTAAAAAATGTGGCTTGTTCATGTTTCTCTGCGGCCATTTTTTGATTTTGTGTGTGGAGAAACTTATTCTGGACTATAAGAACCTGAAGCTGTTTTTGAAAATCAGTTTTTGCTTCCTCAAAAGATGAAGTCTTAGTTTTGTACTGCTGGCACATATTATCAGCCTGGGACGTCATATTGGCCAGTTTTAGGCTAAGTTCTTCGTTCCGTCCCTTTAATTGTCCAATTTCTATCTTTAGTTCAGCGATGGCTTCATCTTTTGATGACAATTTTTGATAAAGATCGTGCTCTGACACCATTTTTAAGCTGTCCTTGTTGGAAGCAGGGAGAAGCTGGGAGGTGTTCATTTCTGCGTATTGCCAAAGGTTGTTATTCCTGTTGGCCTTCATATTCATAAAAATATGATAAAAATACAGCGAAAATGATCACAAATATGCAAAAAGATGCAATAATGCGTTCGTAGAGACTTCCAAGTCCAATGAACTTATGCAAAATTCTGACATTCTAATCATGCAAAATTCTAGAATTCTAATGATGTCATGATGACATCATTCAGATCAAAGAGCAGGCCCCGCCCACCAGAGAATTTTACTGATGTCATAGAACAGGTGTTCTGTTTTAGCCATTGCCTGTGTTGCTAGGCAACAGGCTAAAAAAATAGATTTCAAAACAAAATAAAATTTGAAAACACATTCAAACATTTTTATGGTTTAGTATTTTTTTTAAAGTTTTTTCACTATTATTTAGTAATAGTGAAAATTTAGTTTTTATTCATTTATTTAGTAAAATAAATAAATAAAGCCAGATCTTACACAAACATAAACTCAGTGGAACTGAGAAAGCAATGATGTGTTGGCAATTTCAGCTCCCACACACATTTTACAGGTGTGGAACAGGGACTGTAACGCTACATTTTGTAATAACATAATAAAATCAGACTTCAAAATGTAATAAACCCCCACTAAAACCGTATTATATAATAACTGACACACAATGTAATGAAAGTCTTGAGCGCATTTTGTAAATAAGCCTACTTGCAGCCACATTATAAACATTGTTACGTCATGCTCTTTAGAAATGATCATGTAAACAATCACAGACCAGCTGTTATCTAACTTGTAATAAATGATCATGTTGCAGATACTAAACATTTAAATCTTTGAAACATTTGTTCAGTAAATGTCTAAATTTTTCAGCATTTAGGGGGTGGGGGTGAGGACTCTGATCAGAACCTGTCAGAGCCATGTTGGGTCGGATCCAGGTGGAGCGTCTCCAGTCCTCTCTGAGGCTGTGTTTATTGTCAGGAGTGCAAACGTCTTCTGGAAGAATCAACCTAACAAACGTCTGGAGCTGACAGGGAGAGATTGATGATGTTTTTTTCTTCTTCTTCTTTCTCGCTGCAGCTCCTCGAGCTCATCGCCAGGTCCCAGCTCCCCTCGCTGAGTGGAGTGGCGCAGAAAAACTACATGAACATTCTGGAGAGAGTCGTCCAGAAAGGTGAGCTACAGCCAACCTGCTAGTTTGCATTTTTGTTTCTCTTGCAAATATGTACTTCCCTTTTTTTTATTCATGTTTTTTTCTGTTTTGAGCTTCACGCTTTAGCTGACTTCCTGAAAGTGCTGCACAAATGCTGTAAATGAAGCAAAGTGAAGGCCGTTTTTATTTATTTCCCAGAGACCGTGAGCCTGGCTGAAACTTGACTCTTTGTTGGCTGAGTGAAAATCACTGAGAGTTACCAGAGTCCTCTGCAGACCAAAATGTAAACTAAATGTTCCCTCTGCTAAACAGCTTCAGGTTGTTTAGGTAGCATTTCAGAAACCTCCGGGTCAAGTATTATAAACACGGAGGGAAAACAAAATGGAGAATCTCTAAATGGGTTTGATTTTTGAATCCCTTTTCTGTTCAGATGATTAATCTTGATTAACGTCTCCACAGTCCTGGACGACCAGCAGAACATCCGCCCCATCAAAGAGCTGCTGCAGACCCTCTACGTCTCTTTGTGTGGCCTCGTTCAGGACATGGGCAAGTCCGTCCTCGTGGGGAACATCAACCTGTGGGTGCACCGCATGGAGAACATCCTGCAGTGGCAGCAGCAGCTGGACAACATCCAGATCAGCAGAGTAAGCGTTCGCCCACAGCTTCCAGCACAGGCTCTGAAGTGATTCTCATCAAGGTAATGACTGGGTTTTGTTTTAGCCGACACCCTCAGGCATGACTCTGACCGAGCTGCCCGCCAGCCTGCAGCTGAACATCATGCAGCGCCTGACAGACAGCAGGGACCTGCTCAGTCTGGGACAGGTGTGTCCCGAGTTGGGGGCTCTGACTGAGGACCGCCTGCTGTGGAAGAGGCTCTGCCAGTACCACTTCACAGACCGACAGGTAGGGGGGAAACAAACATTCATGGAAAGATGAGGAGCAGACGAGGGACATGAAGCATCACAAAATCTAATCCAGTGGCAAGCAACGTTCTGCTAATCTGCTAATAGCAGAACTAGCTTCTCATTTAGCAGATTACCTTTTATTTTTGCTGACTTTACAAAAAGATGTTTTTAAAGGGGTAATATGTGTTTCTCAGGCAAATATTTAAATACTATACCATAATAAAGTATCTATATCACCTTTAGTTGTTATTAAAATGCTGTTTTTTTGTTTAAATAGAAAATAAACATATCTTCTCATCACTTCCTCTTCTTAACGCCTTGAAATTGGCCTCTGTCTCTTTAAGAACCACCTTCCACTTCTGTCCCGTCACCCGTCAGTTGGCGGTGGTTTGTTTCGCGCGTGTGCGCGCTATGATGCAGTTTACTTGGCATCTGAAAATACATTTCCCCAAACGTATTTTGAATCTGAAAACTGAGTGAGAAGAAGTGGATCTCAGCAGACAGCTAAGTTTCACTTTCAGTTTGCTCTGTTACTGCCGAGAGCCTGCAGGAGTCATGGGCGGGGGTGGGGAGGTGTGCTCCATGATGAGCAAGTTCGGCTTAAAGACACGTCCCAGGGGCGTTTCTGGTACCAAAAGGCGTTTCTGGTCCCCACCTGTCGTTTTGRTCCTCAGCATGGCTTCCTAAAAACACTGCAGGATTTCTCAAACATGCATGAATGAGTCAAAGCAAGGCTTTGGACATGTTTTTTTAAGAGAGTATAACATTATAACATGATATAAAACTCAAAAAAGTTGATTTTACTTGATATTGCCCCTTTTAAAACTATTAGCTTTCACTAAATTATATTCTGATCATTTTAAGTCCACTAAATCATTCACAACTTTCTTACCATTTATCTCAAGTTAAATTAAAAACTATCCACTCCAGAACTATGGTTTGGATTGGCTGATTTTCCACCGACGATCCCGCCCACCTTCAAATTAAACCAGTAGAAATTAAGAAAAGGTTTGCGTCAGTCCCACCACTCTTCAGATGGTAGGAGACGAGGACGTGTGACACAGGCTGACTGACAGTCATATTAGCGGTTAGCGTTAGCTGCCGCTATCTGCGGTTTAGCTGATTAGTGGTTAGTGAAGCTAACTTTTTGGTTATCTGTGGCCACCACTGAGCTAATCTTAAATAACAGAAATCCACATTTTGAGTTTCACCTTAAAGCCAGTGCACTTTTCACATTTGTTTTTGTTTGAGGGGGAAAAATACATAAAGAATGCTAAACTCTCAGTTCAGTTCAGTTTATTTATATAGCACCAAGTCACAACAAACGTCTCAGGGCACTGTACAAAAACTATCAGATTGTGTTGAATCAACATTTCATGAGAAACGTTTTTGTGCAATAATTGTTTTTTTTCTTCTAATATTGGGTGTAATCTTTAAAGTTTTAAATCTTTCCATCAGATCCGTAAGCGTCTGCTGGTGTCAGACAAAGGCCAGCTGGAGTGGAAGAAGATGTACTTGAAGCTGAGCCGCTGCTGTCCTCTCAGAGAGCAGTACAGTGACACGCTGCACCTCTGCACACACTGCCACATCCTTTTCTGGAAGGTACCACACTCACATCGATTCTTCATCTGAAACTCAAGATTTGTTTTTTTTTTATTATCTGAAAGCAGATCTGAAACGTTCACCTAAATTACTAACGGCACATTTCTTTGTTTGTTAGGACACGAACCACCCGTGCACGGCCAACAACCCTGAAAGCTGCACGACCTCCCTCTCCCCTCAAGACTTTATCAATCTGTTCAACTTCTGAACTTTAACTGCCCTGAACTGACTGTAAATACTGTTTCTGTACAGAGGAAGGTTTCCGTTTATGGTCCTGGATGTATATTTAGTTGCTGCGGGACTCTGGAGGGGCTGCAGGCAGAGGGACAACTATGCAATTTTTTTTATCAATTTAATCTAATTTTTTTTTTTGTTGGAAAGAACAGAAATTTTGACTTTTTTGTCTTTGAAAGCAACTGAACGTGCCGAGGAGCTGGAGGGGACATGGAAGCACCTGAACCGTGTGTGTGAGGAAATAAAAGGAAAACATACGTAGTTTTAGTTAAATGTGTCTGAAATTACACCTGGTTTTTCTTGTTTGGAGGAGTTTAATTTTTTTATTTTTTTCCTTGTTGGGTTTTGAACTTAAGACTTAGGATGATGAGTTTTGTTTAAAATGGGTTTGTACACAAGGGGAAGGTGCAATATGTGTAAAGTTTTAAACTTTTTTTTGTTTCTTTTTATTCTGAAGTTCACTGAGGTGAAGTGAAATCAATACAAGAGTCAGTAATTCATAGGCAAAATGAGGATTTGTTGACATGTTGTAAAGTTTGATTTTTGTTCTATACTTTTTCACTTTTATATGGATTTAATATTTATTATCAAATCGTGCTTTGTTTTTTGGCAGTGTCAGTAGTTGCAGCAGCACCTGAGTGTAGTATTACCATAGATTTTACTCCAAGCAAGTGTAACATTGGTGCCTTTATCTAGAGACTTGAAGCAACCCTGGTACAAAATGTGTCTTGTCTTTTATTATCTCTTTTTAACTAGTTTCATTTTTAAGTTCTTCTAAAGAGTCTGATTTACAAAGGAGTTTAGATTTGAGGCTCTGACACCAAAGTTGAAAATCAGAAGCGACTTATTTTTGTTAAAAAAAAAAAAAAAAAAAAAAAAAAAAAAAAAAAAAAAAAAAAAAAAAAAAAAAAAAAAAAAAAAAAAAAAAAAACCTCCCGACTGTTTATTCTCACAGCTTATTGTTTACTTATTTATTGAGGTTTTTGGCAAGAGATTGAACTTGCACACTTGAGTTTGAAGGAGTGGAAAGGTGCAGTTTGAGAGGAACTTGCCTTTTGTCACAGCTCTGATGCTGAAGATTGGTGTACATGCTATGCAATGCAGTCTGATTATGTTCTATGGGATAAATAAATGGATCTTGTTGAAGCCATTGGTTAATATGTTGTTATTGCAGCTTTGTGATTATATCAGCTTGTGAGGTCCTCTGGAATCATCAATTTTTTAGAGGCTTCTATTTGAGGTAAAAAAAAAAACTACTTTAATAAGAACCTCCTATGCCCTCTACTGGACAAAATGTGAACTGCAATGCTAATTTTTAGAAGTGAGGGTACAGAAAAATATCTCCATGTGCAACAGAAGCAAATACTGAGTTTGCACATTTAAGTACATATTTATGCACAATGTTTAGGATTGAACTAGAGCATTCCAACATTTTTGGACTCCTCTCATAAATTCAGTGGAGGGTTAGATAATCATTATAGTTAATTAAATTGTTCAGATATAACTGTTTTTTTTAAGAACACAAATTATAATGGAGGAAAACTACTATCTAAACACAACTTTAGTTTTATTTCGATCCTATGATTATTATTTTCTATTTATCCTACTCTAGGTTTGACTGATTCTGTTTCTTAAAAAAACTACTGGCCTACAAATAGTTTCAACTACAAATAATTAGAATTTTCTCTAAAAATAAAATAAAATGCTGCGTAAATGCTAACTGCAGAAAAATCTGAGTTGTTAAATATACACTGGAAAAAATATGGCGAAAGATGAAATTAGCAAAACAGGTAGACCTACTTAAAATAGCAAAACTGTAGATAAAAGTAGCAAAACAGATGCTTGATTTAAAATCAGCAAAAAGTAGCTAAAGTTAGCAAAACTGTAAATGTCAACAAAAAATGTAAAATGAGTAAAAAAAGATGCTTACAATAGCAAAGCTCAAGCTAGAAGTACCAAAAGGGTCAGTATAAAAAGCAGAATGGTAGCTAAATGTTAATTTAAGTAGATGAACAGTTAAAACATCAAAGTGGGAATGTTGTAGTTAAAAACAGCAGAATTTTAGTTAAAATCTAAAATAGCAAAATGGGAGCTAAAAGTAGCAGAACAGGAGCTAAATGTTAGCTTCAGAAAACCAAAACAGACACCTGATTTGAATAAAGGAGTGATTACCAGGCTTCTGCAGAACTTGAAGAGGTACAGTAATTCAGTCACTGAATCAGGTGTTGGAGCAGCACAACATGCAGGCAGCACCTTATCAGGACCAATGAAGATCTTTTTGTTATTTTTTTTTATCTTTAAATTGTCAGGATCTTCTTATAGCAGAGGCTTTCAGATGTGTAGGAGCAAATAAAAGCAATAAAATAGCTTACTGTTAAATGATGAACATAAACACTTTTATCACATCTGCTTTAATATTTTTTATTTTATTTCGAATGCATCCAGACATCAACTTAGCTTAAACCAAAATAAAAATGAATACACTTGTTTTAATACAACAAAACAGAAATTAAAGCAATGTATTAATTTATCTAACACAACATGTATAAATAATATTTGTTCAAATATTCTGTTATTAATTCTATGCAGAAATATATTTTAGCACATAATGAGTGCACCATGGCACATCCAGTACTGTCCTGATGGTCAGGATGTGTAGGTATCTTCTGTGGATCAAGCACAATGTTTGGAAGCATGAGAGGCAGGACACGTGTACACAGGTGTGAGATTAAGGCCATAGAACTGGGTAAATACGCCCAACTTGAAGGCCAGAGAGTTTTTTAATCAGCTGCCTCTCTTTGCCATGAATCTGTTTTCCAACCTGCTTGTTTGAGACAAATCTGAGTTCAGTTTAGAGAAACGTGTTTGGATTTTCACACATTAAAAGTCGAAAGAAAAGAAGGCCATGTTCACAATGAGATCCCATCTTTTTGAATTCTTTCTTTAAAAAAAAACGTCTCATCCTTCCTGTTGTCTCTGTCATGCAAACATCTCATCTACAGTTTGTGCCTCAATATAACAACATAATGAGCACCAGGGGGCTACAATCCTGGTCCTGGAGGGCCACTACCCTGCATCAGTGCAGCCAAATGTGGCCCGCCTCAGTATTTTATCTGGCCTGGTGAGATTCAAACATTAATATTGTCTTAAATTCTATTTGATTCAATTCAAAAATACTTTATTTATCCCAGAGGGAACTTAGATAAACAAGCATTCGCTGCTTTAATGCCAGCACTGACCATAAACTACAGCTCCCATAATGCAGGTTGATTATTTTAACCCTATACCTGCATCCCACCACTAGGTGAAGGTTCACAGTAGCTGGTGAAATTGTATAAAATCTTCCTTTCATTGCATTTTCGGTGACTACTTTTGCTGAGGCCCAGTTATACTGGGAAGTGGGAGTTTCCTACTTACAAGCCAGAAGTTTAAAGTGGAACACCCCTCCAGTGAGAGTTCCTTGTTGGAAAGTTGGCATGGTCAGAATTCAAGATGGCAGCTACTCACTGCAACTCAACAGAGTAAAACTCTCTTACTTTTACTTTTCATAGTATTTCTGTATTATTTATTGCATGTTTAGTCAATTGTACACGTAGTACTTTTTGGGTTTGAATGAAAGGTTGATTATTAAGCCTCTGCAGAACTTGAAGAGGCGTGAAACATGCAGGACAGCGGCCCTCGAGGACCAAGACTGGACACCCCTGGTCTAGTTTGAACCCTAGTTTTCAATACTATAAAAATACTACATTAAGTCAAATAAAACCATAGTTTGTTGCATATTAGTAACATAAAATATCTGCATACCTCCCTGATGCATTCTCGTTTTTATGAAGTGCCTTTCCAAACTGAAGCTAAGCTGTAGCTTTACATGAAATGTGCCGTAGGAATGACATTCAAAGTATTTAGGTTCGATAGTCACCATAAGATGATGAAAACGTCCTGTTAATGAAAAAGAAAAACACTCCTACAAGTAATGGCCCCGCTAAATATTCCTCCACGAAGCTTTGAGAAGCATTTAAACTTCTTTCCTGTGCTTCAGCTGCATGAGAAGTGCTGTGAGGTGAAAAGTAAAGTAGCAGCTGCAGAGGATCTGAAGCTGCTGAAACCCTCAGCAGGAGGAGAGAGAGCCGTCATCAGTGCAGACTTGGAGCTCTGAGCACGACAGCAAAGAGAAAAGAAACATGTTTTTTTGTTTTTTGTTATAAGAAAAAGTATATATATATGATTTAAGGACATATAGTGGTGTAACAAAACCAAGGAACCCCAGGAGAGCAAAGAGACGCCTTACCAGTGTTAGTAAATGTCACAGAGAGGAACTTTCTCTCTCAGAGTTCTGAATAATCCACTCAATAGCAGCCCAGCCCTGCAGAGGCAGACAGAGACTGAGGAGATCAAAGAGCAGTTCAAACCCAGAGACACAGCTGAACATGACTGAGATAAGCAGACACAGTCCTGACAGCAGACACACAGACATGCTGGAGGAAAAACAGGCCGAGGTTTGGTCAGAATATCTGTCAGTGAATGACTAAACGAGCAAAACAGGCTACGCTAAATCAACGTTTTTGAGTTTCATATCATGTTATGATGTCATTCCCTCATCAAAAATATACCAAGGGTGTTGCTTTGACTCCTTCATCATGTCAGAGAAATCCTCCAATCTCCAGTGGTTGCCATGTGGAGCTGCCTAAACACTCGCTGGTAAAAAGAAGAAGGCCTATTTACTCGAAGCGTTGACTTAAACACTGATATGTAGCGATGAGTCACATAATAAAAGTTTATTGTCTGTACTTATGGTTTTAAATTTAAAAAAAGTCAAACTGAGTATTTGTACTTACAAATCTGTTTCAGTTGTTTTTAAGGAACTTTGTTGCAAAAGATGTGTAGTTCTGTGAGATTCTTGGAGTTGCAGACATTTTTCTGCAGCTCTGCTCTTACATTCGTCGACCCTGAAGTGGATTTTTTAAATGTTCCTAACTTTACTGTCTGATCTATTAAAACGCTCAGATGTTATTTTGCAAACTTACATCTTGGATCAAATAAGGAAGGTCTAATTGTAAACCTGACACGTTTGTGCTCTTCTAACGTTTTCTTAATCCTCAAGGCTGACACGCAGCATTCTGTTAAAGGAGACCAATTATGGGTCCTATAAATTTTTATGGTGTGTCTGTGGGCTATCCAGACCATGTTCATTCAATTTAATGCACAAAATAAATCTCAGATAATAAAATTTCCCATTTTCTAGTTCTGCCTGCTCTGACTTTCGTTCAGAAGAGCTGTTGATGTTAATGAGCTCTGTTGGTAACGCCCTCCAAAAATCTGTTGACATTAACTCCGCCCTCCAAAAATCTGTTGACATTAACTCCGCCCTCCAAAAATCTGTTGACATTAACTCCGCCCTCCAAAGCCAGCGTTTACGTTAGCATGGCTAATAATAGCAGAAGCTCCGTTGTACAACCATATGAGACCCAGAGGCAGAGTCGTGGTCGCAGCTTCTCTTTTTTCTCCCCCTCCTCTGCTCTGCGCTCACTCTGCATGCTGTTACCAGAGCAGGGAGCAGCAGCGGTCAAAATACCTCAGAAACTCGAACAAATAGGTTTTAACAAGGCTTTGATAAGCTAAACAATAGAGGTACATGAGAAAACGTGTTCATAACGAACGAAAATAAATAATTAAATTATGTCTGTGCTGGTCTCAAACCCTGGTCTCCCACTATCTGGTCCAACACTCTACCCATTGTCCTATTGGAGGCTTGTTGTGAAATGAGTTGCGATTGCACAACAACATGGTGACGGCTTTTTATACTGAGGAGGTGGAGCCTCACCCTGGGATTGCTAGGTAAGGGGCTGAACGCAGATTCCGGTGGGTTGTCGTACGGCTTGTGACGTCACAAAATGACGGAAGTATAAAACTTGTCGTTAATACACATTAAAAATACATTTACTTACAGTAAATATGCCCCTGGGTGCATTTTTTTGGTCTTAGGACTGTTTTTTTAAGAAGTACATACCCAAAGTTGAGTAAAAAAAAAACTTTAAAAAGTGAATTTTGCATAATTAACTGACACAATGAGCTGCAGAAACTTCTTGACATCCTCTGAACTTCTTGCTTTGTGTGAACAAATCAGTTCGATTTTTTCCCCCAAGTTTCAGCAGTCAAACTAAACGTGGCACAAAAAAAAAGAAATTTGTGTTTGGTAGATTTATTGCAAACAAGAAGTAATAGTGACACTACCAGGAAGCATTGTTGCAACAAACAGATACCAAACATAAATTTGCTTACTTTTTGTGTTATATATTTAAAATTCTTCTAAATGTAGGGGTGACCTTTGACCCCATGACCCTAAAATCACTAAGAGTCATTGTTTACCCACAACCTGTCTAGCTGTGAAGTTTGACATTTCTAAGTTACACAACTGCAGAGCTTGAAGAAGAAAGCTTGTATTCGCTCTGTTAGCCATCTTGAAATGCTAATTAGCCTTCAGCATGTGGTCGGGATTGCTTTCGGCTACTAACGCACCAAGAGTAAGCTCAGTATCTTTAAAATGTATTCATTTAAAGGTGAAAAAACTGACTTGAGCAGAAAAAAGATGAAATTAGTAGAAAAGTACCTGAAAATGCTAAACAAGGCCAAAATAAGCAACAATTAGCAAAAACAAACTGAAAGTAGCAGGAAAATTTTTCAAATTAGCAGACAGATGGTGAAAGGAAAGTAAAAGAGCTCACATTAGCAGAAAAAAATACAAGTAAAAACAATGCAATTTGTTTTAAAATGGTTAACATAGCTTAAATTAGCCAAAATAGTAGCTTAAAACAAAACTAAAACTAGCCCAAAAAGCTAAAGCAGCACATTTGTTGAGTTAAGCAGAAAGAAGCAGAAATGTCTACCAAAAAGGCTGAAAAAATTACAATCTAGCATACAGCTACTAAACAGTAGCTGAAAAGGCAGAAAAAAAGCTGAAAGAAGCATAAAGAGCTTAAATTAGAAGAAAGATGGTGGCCATTGTTTGACTGTGTTGTCCTTCAAAATGTTACCAAACAAAGACTGCACAGTTATGTTGGCTACGTTTTGAAAGACTGTTTTATTTCTTCCTTTAACCTGAAACAATTCACAGATACAGGAGTGATGATAAGCTCTGCTGCCGCCCCGGTCCTGCCAGAACAAGCAGCTGTTGGATCTGTTTTACCTTCCGAGCATTTGCAGACATGCTCCTGACCATCATGCCCTCCAGGTAACTGCTTAGACTCATGCCCTTCACTGTAATGATGGCCTCCTGCGTCAGGACAGTCCTGAGGAGCAGCCGACAGAGAAAACATCATCAGATTATCTTCTGGTGGTGGAGTTCTCATTGTTTTGTTCAATACAAAATAATATCAGACTAAGAGTCTGTGTTTTGGAACCAGAAGCTCCACCGACCCAAAGCAGAATAAAGAACTTACACCTCAGGATCTTCCGGGTGTGGTTTGTAAACAAGCCTCTCATCCACTGATATGAGGTTGGTGAGTGTAATCTGGTGGACAGAATTTATTCAGATTCCTTTAAAGGGATCCATGATTAGTTGTAACATTAGACTTTGTTTGATAAACATATATTTTAACTGTAAAATAAAGACTGTAAAAATAATGTAAGCTGTTCAGTTTTTTTCATTTTTAAAACAAAAGTTTAAAAACATATTACACGGACAGGGCCATTTTATTTACACACAAAACATTCTGGGTAAATGATGACGTGTACAGGTCCCCGGTGTGAGCGAGCTATATCCACCCTGAAGGTTAATGTTGGACAAAATCTGATGATCGACTCTTTTAAATGAAACCAGAGAGCGTTGACAGAGAGGAGGAGGTAGAAATGACTCAGCCTG